TGGTCTGGCCTCGAGCTACCAAGTACGGAGTACTAGCTGGCCCTGTCTTCACCTGCATCTGAAAACCAACATGAACATCGCATGGGCAGACCGTGCCTTGAAAATCTGACGCAACAGCACCAGCGAAAACTAACAAAGTCTTGTCATCTGATTATAGCCCTTTTTTGCCGCATTTCTACACATTCATCAAAGTTTTCTCAGTCGAATTACGTGTGCGCAGGATCTGCGCATGGGAAAGGCCAACCCTTCTTCAAGCAAGGGCACTGAGGCCAGACCAGGCCGCAACTCCTAATTACACAATAGAAAGGGAGGTGCTGTACGGTAATAGACAACGGCAACATAATGCAGCTGTCTACGTGCTCATACGGTGCGTGCAAGATTATTTCCAACCGAGTCCGAGTCGCCGATTACAGTAAAACATGATTCCGATTCGGTTTCAGCATGTTGATGAATTATGTAGTATGTAGTATACCATTGTAAAAATCTCTCTCCCTGCCCTTTTATGGGGTCATTGCCTTGCCTTGTCTATTCATTAAGTTTGAGACCTGCTGCTAGGCAAACGCATATTTGTCAGGTTCATGCGCAGGGAACACGTCAAGTTCTCGCAATGCCAATCTGCTCTGCACCCCCGCCATTGCAGGGAACTTGTCGATAATCAAATTGGTCATCAAGTACCAATTCCAATAAGTTAGCTTGGGGGTTCGGCAATGGCGGATTCCCTTGGGAGTTGCTTGCATATAGAATTACGCCTTCATGAGGCATCGTGGCTACAGACCAATTCCAGGCCCTGGGAGGTTGCCTGTATAGGTCAGAGGTATGCCGTGTTCTGATATGTTACAGTATCCAAGTATCGAATGTGATGTATATATAGGTGTCTTTTAATACCGAGGGATACCATGTTATCCCTACCAGAACAACCAAGCTACCGCCACCGAATTCACGCCAACACCTTGATAAACCAGCACATGAAGCCTCTGTCTGATTGTCACTAATGGAGCTAAGAAAGGTACGATACCCACGAATTCACACTGGCCAATTCAAATGTCCATTATCCAACATGCAACGGAACTGGTGGTGGCAGAGAATGCCATTGTCCAAATGGCGCTTTGTTGGAGAATCAGTGAGTGTATCATAGCCGGTGCTGCACACACGGAGCATGGAGAGCCGACGACGGAAGAATGACCAGGTTTATTGTTGTCGAAACTTTGTACATTTTGGTGTCCTTCCTCTTCATTCATGCCCGTGGGAAGGGAGCCCAGCATGGGTCGCAAAGGACTGCGCTTCTTGGAGCCTGTAATGTTTGTTGTATCGGTGCAAGATTTCCTCGGCCCATGTCTTAATATTCTAGGACCGCGGTGTTGATCCAAGCGCTGGCTCATCAAATCCCGACGCATCGACTTCCTCGACGCTTTCATCCTCGCGTTGGCCGTCATTTCTCTCCTCACTGGGTCTCGACTTGGGTTTCAACATCGGCCGGTCCAAGCCCAACACCGTTATCCCCTTGTCCCTCACTCATCGAGGACAGGGTCGCTTCGCACCCTTCTGCCCCGGCACACATCATCTTCCACCCGACCCTGTTCGCGGGGCACTTGGGCAATTTCTTCGATGCAGCGAGCTAATTCGGCTTCATTGTGCTCATTTTGTTGCCCATCCCCCTCTCCGTGTGGCCCAGGAGCTCTGTCGGCGAGACAATTGGTAATATGATGAACGGTCTCGGCGGAGGGTGTGGTAGATTTTCTTTAACGTTCTTTTTTCCCGTCTTGTCTGTCTTCATTGTGACATTGTGTGGCTGACGGTTGCAGGGATAAAGACGATTCTTACCAACCTCCTTGCCAACTCGAACTCAAAAGATACCGCCGTCGTAGTAGCGTGCTCTTACCTCATCCGCTCGCTCGTCTCCGGCATCGCCATCAGTATCTCCTCAGCCGTAATGCAGCAAACCCTCTGTAGCCAGCTTGTGGCGCGCCTACCCGACGGCGACCAGGCGCGGAAGATTGAGGATCCCATTCGTGAAGCTTCGACTTTATTAGGGAGCTACCGCCGACGTCGGTGTTTGGCCGGCGGCATTTGTCGTTACGTTTTGAGTGCGGAAGAGGAGCTTGGAAAAAGGCGTACTTACTTACTTAGACGCGGGGTCAGTCAATGAGTGATGAAGTTTGGATTTATTTGTTTCTGTAGTCAGTTAGGGGAAACGAGTAGTGAAAGTTGCATTGTGGCACTGGATATATAGGTAATTTGTGCATAGCGCAGCGTGTTGGTTGTACATAAAAACGTCGTGTATGATATTATACATTCATCAAACATCTAGTCAGAAACAGCACAGCTTCCTCATTTATCATGAAACAAGCCTTGCGTCTTGCCCTTGGGCTTCGCAATGGGCTCCATTCCAAATATGTCATCTGTTTTCGGGGGCGCGCTCCCGTCGGTGGCTTCGGCAGTCATCTCGCCGAACAGAAATGCATTCCTTTCTCGGCTCAGATTATTCGAATGCCTCTTACCATGCTGCGAAGGCGGGGACTTGCTTGCTGCCGGGGCGCGAGAGGGAGTCGTTTCGTCTGGTTCCAGCATCCAGGAGAAGGATGATTGGGCAAGCGTCGAGCGGGTTGGGACCGGGGCGGGCCGGACCTCGACCGTGTTGTTTCCCAGGGGGTCGGAGGGCGGCGCTTCTCCGGGTTGGTCGTCCTGACTTGCAACCATTTTTTCCGGATCTGCGGCGTCTTTCTCAGAACTGTGCTTCTCTTCGTTTATTTCGAGTTTTAAAACGTCCGGCGCTGGCGCGTCAGAGCTAGTTGCCGGCGCCACGTGTAATAATTGGTTTGCTGTTGTCGCCTTGGTCTCTGTGGCCTCCTCGACCACCTTTTCTTTTCCCTCTGGCGACGATACCAATTTGTTCTTTGGTGTTGAGAAGACGGGGACATCCATGGTAGAATCTTCCAGGTAGATCTGCACAAACTGGATCTTGGCGGCCGCCACCTCGATGAGTTCCAGGCTCTTAGCTTCATCCTCAAACCCCGACAGGGATATCGTCTTGAGGTTCGTAACTGTATCGTTCAGCAGACCAGCCAGCTCTTTGTTGCGTCTTTCCATGGCTGCCAATGCCTTGGAAGCGCCTTCATCACTGAGAATATGTCTTGGAGACCTTTGTGCTTGCCGGGCTTCATTAAAGCTTTGCACATTGCGTCTGATTTCTCCCATGGCATCACGGACTGCTTGATTGATGCCCAGTTTTTCACTCCTTTCCAAGACACGGTTGGCGCCTCTAGCGGCTCCTTGGAAGAAGGCTTCCATGCTGGGCGGTTGCTGGGTAAGCCTAGAGGGTGATATAGGTGGCCGACCGCCCAGTTGACGAACGGAGTTGTCTTCAGACTCCGCACCTCTGCTTGGTTGGATCGGTTTGATGTCATTGGGGTTCTCAGGAATCCTTCCGGTATATTTCATGATCAGACTTGATCCACCCGTAAAGTCTAAATGGTCTCGTAGATACACAGCGTCGTCGACAAATGTGTGTGGCCCATGGGGTTGTTCTGGGGGAGGATACTTTAGAAGAAGTTGTAGACAGACAGAATAATCGGCTGCCAACACTGCATTTTACACATCAGTCATTGAATAGCCGCAATCCCGGGATGACGTACACTGCCAACGAATCCGGACCAGCATAGCAACACAGATCAGGTCTATCAGCTCAAGTGAGGGATCCACTGCAAATATAGTATCCCACAACACAAGAAGCTGGCTGAATGGGAATTCGCGACTGAATAAGAGTCGTATCCATCGGCTGCAGGAATGCAGGTTAACCAGAAAGCCGTTGAAGTCATACAGAAAGTGCTTCCACTCACATCAGGAAGATCTGGGGCAGGATCTCTATATTTGTGAGATGAGCTGCGAGTTCCGGATCAACTTTCTGCAGACAAATCTCATGGATGAACCTGCTTCGCTCCACAATAGCGGAAAGCTGCTCTTGCATAATCACTGGTTGGCTATCGTGATTTGATGGCGTGCTTCCATTTGCAACCTCATAGAATGACTGCGCCTGCTCCATGAGCTTTGAAAACAGGATGTAAGCGTCGTGCTCTATAAAGGCAGAGTCCAGTACGTGCAGCATTTTTGCATCAAGACGCGCATCGTTACCAGAAGCCTCTGAGTCGATTGAATCTTGTTCAAGGGCATACACTATTGGTGCAAGAAGCTCGTGCATGCCTTGGCGATATCCACCTCTGTCGGGGTTGACCTTGCAGTAGATGAACAAGATGTCCAGAATCATGCCTTGTACGGCGTCTTCATGATAATTGACCTCGTCAGGGAGCCGCTGGACATCTTGCTGAATCTCTGTCCGGATTATCTCATCCTGTCGTACTGTATTCCAAGGTGACTAGGTCTGGTAAGTAGGCATGCGAGTATAGCATCAGACAAGATGGGCGAGCAATTACTAACATCGGGATCATCAGCAAGCGGATCGACGGTGAGCTCGGTGAGGGCTTCGGGATGCCGAATAAACTTGAGAAAATGGTCTCTGCGCTCTTGGTAGTCTTTTCTGCCTTCTTCCAAGACGTCCGCCCAGCTCGTGATGCGTCCCTTAGTCGACAGCAGGAAGGTCTGGTCAAAGGCATGGATCAGCTCATCTGCGATGCAAGTCGCCCAAGGTGATGGTGTGATGTGATGATGGCTCAAAAACTGTCAAGTACCTTCCAGCATACGGACCGACAGCCCGACAAACAAGGGCTGGACGAGCCATTGTATTTAACAGCCCGTTGTAAATCTTCCAGGCTCGTGCTATGAGTCTGTGTTGTCTGCCATCTCAATCTAATGAGGTCATGTCTGTCAGCTCACCCCGCTCCTCTGGGCGCCTTGCTGTCTTACCGAGTCTCTTGGACGGATCTCATAATGGCTGGACATGGATGTTCCCGGGTTCACCGGAAGCAAATGGCAAGCTGCCTGTCTCATGCAGCAACCTTCTGGCCGGGAGGATTCGTGGACAGACGGCTTTTGCGGTTGAGGCGACGATGACGAGAGAGAGGCAGGAGGTGGGCTGTAATATTGGCGTTGTGGTTCCAGGTGGCCATGTGCATGTCATGACTGGTCTGGCACTGCCAATGGTCAGTGCTGGTAATAAGTTGCCACCGACATGCAGCATCTGCAATGCCCTGGCAGCTCAGGTCGAGCACAGTCTGGTGCTGCTGTCTTTGAACATGGAGCCTGCTGCTGCCCCACCAGACCAGACCATATCAACCAGCACAGACGACATGGCGTATTGATGTCAAGTCTCGACTCCAATCGCTCGTCACTCCTCCACTTCGCAGTAATATCAACAGCGTTCAACTCATTGTCGCGGCATAAGCATGGTATTCCGCATAAGCTTGTAAATATGTCGGCAGATCTCTTTGCCGAGTTCAGTAATCCTTCAACTTCGACGCCGCCTACGTCGCAATCGGACAGGCTTTTTGGACAGCCACCACAGCAGCAACAGCAGATACAGAGCCATGTCCTCATACAAGATCCCTTCCATGTATCCAGCAGAAACAATGCAGTGCCGGTGCATTCACAAGCATCACAATCGACGCCGTTTCAAAGTACTATGCCAAACAACATGGATGCTTGGGACCAACCCTCACACGTTTCTCAATCATCAACCGTGGTTCTGCAACAGCCAGATGATGACGATGGATGGGGGGACTTTGAAGTAGCACAAACGCCTCAAGTAAACACACGACCTCTGGTTTCGAGCAACAGCAGTTGGGGCTCTTATTCTGCCTCTCAGTCTATCCCGCATGACATAAGCTACAATGCTGCAGCAGCAACACACACTCCGGCTGATGGCTTAATCGGCGGCGGCTTTGAAGATTTTGGTTCACTCGGTGGTCGGGTAGATCACGTTCCACAGCTTTCTTGGTCTCTAGCAGAACCAAGGGATAGAGTACAGATGAAGACGACGCATCACGATCCAAATGTGCTGTTTGATGTGGACGATTTTGAACTGCAAGGCGGCGGAGAAGAACATGATGATTTCGACGAGTTTGGTGAATTTGAGGCCGTCGAGTCAACACCCCGTTCAAAGCCCGTACCGGCTACCATTCCACAACTTACACCATCTCTTGATCTCCTGGGGCTTGATGATTCTCCAATAACCCCTTTGCACAAGGAAGCAAAACCGAGAGTGGCCAAGGAAGAGTCAAGCCCGGCTGCCGCAGCGTCAAGTTTTGGAGCCACGTCTTCAAGTAAACTCCAACCCCTGCAATCACTGGCGAACCAAACCCAGCCTCCTTTTGTTGAACGTAATGTCAAGAAGACAACCCATACGTCAACACATAAAGCGAATCCTAGTTCCATTCTAATGCCATCCACAAAAATGACGCCGGTGACGAAGAAGGTGTCCCCAGCAAAAGCGACGGCAAACGATGACGAATGGGGAGCTTGGGATGATTTCTCCGCGGACAATGGAGACAACGATTCTAGTCAGGAAACTGCAGAGACACACAAGTGGCTGTGGGATGCTGGTGACGGTAGCAAAGCCACAAAGGCCATGGTAGATGACAGCAGCCCGCCACCAACGAATGTTCCTCCTCCCTCGATCCTACTTTCGGCATTCCCAGAGCTCTTTAATACTGGAAATTCTTTGTTCAAGTCCGTTACCGGGCAAAGTCCATCTGTCAAGCAACAGGTTCTCTCGAATCCCAAGACTATCCAATTCCTTCAAGGATACGTCCTACTAGCGTCGACGGCTGCGCGAGTGATCGCAGGACGCAAGCACCGATGGCACCGAGACAAAATCCTGGCCAAGAGCATGTCAATTTCAGCAGCTGGAAGCAAGGGCATGAAGTTGGCAGGTGTGGATAAACAACAATCTGCACGAGAGGACCGTGAAGCTGCTGACGTGGTTGCGGCATGGCGGGAGCATATAGGGAGGCTACGGTCTGCCGTGGCAACGGCTAACTCTGCTGGCAAGGCCAAGATTCAAGTGCCAGAGCTTACAGAAACCCCACGAATTCAGACGGCAAAGATGGTCCCGACCGCGCCTAAGCCGTGTATTATCTGTGGGCTCAAGAGAGAAGAGAGGGTTGCAAAGGTTGACTTGGATGTTGAAGACAGCTTCGGGGAATGGTGGGTAGATCATTGGGGCCACAGGGCTTGCAAGAATTTTTGGATAGAGCACGAGCAACTATTGCGGCAGCGATGAACGAGATGGTGTACCATCATGAATAAAGTTACAATGTCTTTTGGGAAGGTCGCAAGAGTATATGAGCATATTACTGTATATAACAGCGGCAGTACAATGATAATATGAGCACAGAACCCTTCATCCTCTTACCCGTCTCCGTCTATTGATCGACAAGTAGTAGCACGTAGGTCACGCTGGCTGTCAAGAATGAAATGATGGCAGAGGACTCTCAGCGCTACGTCAATGAGGTAATTTGTTTGCCTTGAAACCTCTGGAGAATTGACATATTCCGGAGCCATGAGACGGACAAAGTTGAAGGCCGCCGAGGTCGTTGAGCGAGGCGGTAGTCCAGCCATAATAATAAAAAGCACCCGACCTGGCATGCACGATGACGACGTCCCGCCTGGTGTCAGCTACCTAGTAGGTACTAGGTACCTGATGCTTTTGAGTATTCCGCATTTACCCACCTTGACGCTACTTACAGTGCTTTATCTATGGCTCATCAATACCGGGGCTCCCCCGACCCCGCGCCTCTCTACAGCTGCTTGGAGGCGCCTTCAGGCACCAGCCTTTGTCACCAGACTCGCTGTCCGCTAAAGAACGTGTGTATTGGGTATGTACTAGGTACCTAGGTTCCACCGTGCCTCCCCCGAAATTGCCGGACTTCTTGGATAAAATCATGCCAACTCAACAGCCAGGATGCCCACCCTCTCGCGCCGAAATAATTCCTGACCCTACAACCACCACGCTGCCAACATCGATCACCATTTCGTCACCCTACTCGACCATGCCGGTCGCTTGAATTATTTTGACATGAGCCAGGATTATTTCACCGGCAAGGGAAAGGGGCCGCTGCGCTCCGATCCCGATCCCGACGCGCCAAAGAACTCGAGTCCCTCATCATCGAGTCGACCTCATTACATGACGGTTGGCAGCGGATCGACATCGGAGCACGCCGCACGGTTGCAGAATATGCTGGATGTCGATTCTGGATATGGAGGAAGCATGGCTGGCGAAGATCACCACATAGCCATGACATCGGCGACAAACTCGACCTCCGACTCAAGTCAGCATCCTCGGGGCAGAGCAAGTGCAGGTCATCAGATGTGGTACTACCGCCAACGCGCGATACTAGGCAGGTCGATCAACAAGGTCCTGGATTTGTTACAGAGTCTTCAACAGATGAACACTGAGTGGCCAGCCCATTACCCGACCATCCGGCCTGCGGACGCGACGAGCTCAGAAAGGCCCGGAATGGGACGCACGTACTCAGTTTCAGGAGACGCTGCCAGCTCTTCGTCAACAACCGCCCAGCCTCCGTTGTTAAGGCGATCTCTGACTTCCGTCGATGCTTCAACCGCTGAGTCGAGCCGCGCCGCCAAGAACCGACCGGCGCCAGAGCCGAGGCTAGTTTCTCCCCAAATTGCGCAGGAATTATCTATTTTGAAATTGGATCTGAAATTAGGAGCCCTGCATCAAGCCGAGCTTGTGCACTCTTTAGAGAAGAACTCTATTGCAGCTCTTCTGGACGGCAAAATTAGCTCGAGCATAAGGCATCTATTATCCCTCCGCGAGCGCATCGAAGATACTTCCAGCAAGGTCCTCATCACGGGTGACTTGAATGCTGGAAAGTCGACTTTTTGCAACGCTCTGTTGCGACGCAAAGTTCTGCCAGAGGACCAACAACCATGCACAGCCATCTTTTGCGAAGTCCTAGACGCCAGGGAAAATGCGGGAATTGAGGAAGTGCACGCCGTGCACAAGGATTGCACCTATAGCAGGCATGACGAAACAACCTACGACGTTTATGCTTTGACCGAGCTGGAAAAAATTGTTACGGATAACGAAACGTATACTCAGTGCAAGGTATACGTGAAGGATATTCGGACAGTGGACGAGTCACTACTCAACAATGGCGTAGTCGACATTGCACTTATCGACGCACCAGGTCTCAACTCAGATACTACCAAGACTACCGCCATTTTCGCCAGACAGGAGGAAATTGATGTCGTTGTGTTCGTTGTCTCAGCAGCAAATCATTTCACACAGTCTGCCAAGGAGTTTATATACGCAGCCGCCGCTGAGAAGGCCTACTTGTTCATTGTCGTCAATGGCTACGACACCATCAGAGACAAGGAGCGATGCCAGAAGCTTATTTTGGATCAAGTTTCTGGACTGAGCCCAGATACTCGTAAGGAATCATCAGACCTTGTTCACTTTGTATCAAGCAATGCTATTCCAGCCGGACCAGCACCGCCAGGAGGTCCTGGTGGCAACGGAAGCGGCAGTTCCAGCGGTGGAGGTGGAGGCGATGATCCAGGCGACGATGGAGCAAAGGGCAAGGGCAAAGATTTGGACAAGATTCGAGACTTTGAGGCTCTGGAAGCATCATTGCGTCGCTTCGTTCTCGAAAAGAGGGCGAGGTCCAAGCTTGCCCCTGCGAGAACATATCTATTGAACATCCTCAATGATATACACAGTTTGGCTCAGGTTAACGAAGAAGTTGCCCAGTCAGAGATTGACAGAGTCTCTGCTGAACTCAGGGAAATTGAGCCACAACTCGCATCAAGTCGAAAGGCCAGGTCCGAAGTAAGCGAGCAAATAGATCGAAACATCGAGGAGACTTGTCAAGACGTCTACGATCACAGCCGTTCTGAGCTTAATACCGCCATCACTCAGGCCGGCAGGACCAACTACGACGTGCCATACCCCGGCGTCTTTGGCGCCTTCCAGTATGCCGACGATATTAAAGAGGCCATGCTCTCGCACATCACAGACGCTGTCACGCGCTGCGAAGAATACGGCAGAGAAAAGAGCGTCCAAGGCGTAAATACTATTAAACAACTGGGCCTGCTACATGTTGGGGACGAGTTCCAGAACCTACAGTTTCGACCAGACGTCATGTTCCGGAGAAAGCGTGATGCTCTTGCACGACAGGTTCATATTCCAACTGAGCTTTGGGACTTTGTGGACTGGTCGACTCTGTTGCAGCGCCAGGAGAAGTTTGCAGGTACTGGCATGGCCTTGACGGTGGCGGGCGCTGTCGTGCCTCGAATGCTTGGCATGAGTAACTGGATGGATCATGCCATGTTGACGACT